TGGGTTTCATTGTGGCCACGTGAACAGTCAGGCACTCCCCAACCCACAGTCACCTGTGCTCTGTCAAAGTATTCGCAATTGCATGGCACAGATGAAAGGGATAGGGTTGCGCTCTGCGTGTCAACCACTGTCCTGCACTGTCCTTGCCTACCAAAACAATGTGTTTGCGATTTGAAAATGAACAACGCCCATGCTGTGGCACACACTCGCGCGCTAAGTGAAGGAGAGAGAAGGGTCCCCCAAAGAGGATTCCAGTTGCTTTGCGCCAGGGCATGTGATAAGCACAAAAGTCAATTCGCATGAGAGTGAATCGATCGGCAAGTTGTTTCAGGTATGGTGTTAGCCAGATTCGGCTAGACCAGGGGTTCTCAATCGCACAACACAAGTTCAAAGCAATGCATGTGGAGATGATTTGTTCAGACACACTGAGAAGGCTGTTGCCATCTTGTATTTTGCGTTTGTCTGAAAAACTCAAGTCATCAAAGCCAAATAAATTCTGCTCATCATCTCTCAGAGGGGGGGGACCCCCATCATGCTTTCTAGCTCTGCTCCAGGTTGTGCAAGGGGTTCCCAACCATACCATAGCTATAGAGCCCTGATGTTTGTGCAAGAAACGAAGGATTCGGTGTAAAACAGCTGGTTGTAAAATGTCGCAAGCTGTGCCGTAGGCAATATCATAGGCTATGGAGATGAAACCCACGGCTGAACAAGCTTGTGACAAACGCGCGCAACCACTGAAAATTTCTAGCACAAATTTCTGAACCCCAAGCTGTTGTGAAGGCCGAAAAATCTTGGGGCCTCCTTTGGAAGCATCTGCTCTGCCAGCTGCGACTTTCTCTGCACGGCTGCCGGGAGGTCGTTGAACTCCTGGTTCAGGCGCGCATGCGCCTCGTATCTCCGCACTGAGCTGTCTGCTTGCCAACGCCCTCTCTGCTTCACCTCGCTTAGCGGGCGTAGCTTGTAGAACCTGTCGTGCGAAGGTCCTGAGTGACGGAGTTGGTAGAGCACTGCGTGACTCTTCGGAAGTCCTATCGCCTTGAGTGCTGCCTGCCAGGACTGAACCAAATCGTAGTAGGTGATGTCGAGGAGGAAGGCTCCCGGAGAATTGAGACTTCTGAGGGCTGGACCGATCCATGGCAGGAGAGGAGAGTCCAGCAGGATGCTTTCGTCCGCTAGGCCCACCTTGGACCGTTCTTGCCGCTCTGCTGGATGCAACAAAAGGGACCAATGCTTCTGTCGAGGCATGGGGTTGACCAAGTCTGCTTTTCTCAGGTGCAGAACCTCGCCCGGGCGAAGGTAGGCGGTGAAGCTGAGGAGAACTGCTGCTGCTGAGTGTGTTCTGTGTTGCTTCAACATCTGCATGACCAGAGCCGCCAACAACGGCCACGGCAGAGGTGGTCGAGTCCTCTGGGGTTCCAGCTTCAGCCATCCCTGCAGTGATCGCCGGGTGCGCGCAAGAGTGTGCTTCTGGCCACAACCTGGGAACATGTCGCATGTTGCGGCGAGGAACTTTGTGCCCTCGGCGAGCTCTAATCCTTGATCGAACATGTGATTCACGTAAGAGTTGCAAACCTCGTCCAATCTCTTGTAATCCCTCGCCAGGGTCTTCTGTGAGACTTTTTGGGCTCGGGCAAATTGGAGAAAGCCCTGCATTCGTCGCCGATAGTCTTCGGCCACCAGTCTTGACACTGCCATCTGCTCCAAAAATGTCTGTCCTTGAAACCTCTGCGGGGTCTGATTCTCTTGTTTCGCCTGCGAGCGGTTCTGCTTCCGATCGTCCCGGGTCTTGATCAGCCGTCTTTGAGGTGACTGCCTTTGGCTTTTCTGTGTCTGGTTGGACTTTGTCTCGGGAAGGAGGATTCCAGGTTGAGGTGTAGGGGGCGTCTTCCTTTTCTGTCCCCGCGCCTCCTGGGCTAAAAGCATGCTTTCTCAAATGCTCCCACTGTCGGGAAGCCTGATCAGCCACATTCCTTTCACTCGGCACCCATCGCACTTGAAGGAAAGTGTCAGTGGCCAAGAGCAAACACGTTAGCCGCCGACACACCCGAAGCATGCCAAAAGTATTCGACCTACCCTTAGAGCAAAGAAGCACCACACCCATGTTATCCGTGAAGTGAAGATGCTTCCGTCCAAACTGTTGCGACGAGCGAAATTTGTGTCTCATGGCAGCAATAACTCCTCTACCTTCCAAAAGTGTGATATGTTCGGGATACTGCATGTGAATAGCAAAACATTGTGTCCAGCAATCCTTTTGCATGACCTCGGCCTCTATGTCAGGAAAATCAAAGTTCAGCTCATATGGGTCACTTCGCTCCGCTTGCACTGGCTTGACCGTGCCTGGATCTTCAAAGGGGTCACCCAAATCAACAACCACTTCACGGGGCTTGACAGGTCTTCCACTAACGTATCTCCAGGTCTCTCGAATGCGGCCATGCCGGACCACGTCTCTCAGGGGAAGC